CGCTGTAAAACACTTACCAAAAAAAGGAGACTTAGGGCGGTAACCCGGAAGAAACTGTCTAAACAAGGGAGTTACTACTGTGAGGAGGAGAAAGACTTTCATAACAGTCGATACACGACTATAAGCATGTAGACAATTGGGACACTTTTGATTTTAAAAAGCAAAAACGCCGGTCTTTCTTCAATACAATTCTAGCTTTCAATCCAAAGTTTTCTTTGAATTCATTAGATTCAGCATTGCGGGAATTAAGTTCACAGGGTATACTTTCCCACCAGAGATCCATAGAGGTTGTTTTATTCATTCATTCATTCATAATACATGTTCACTGAAAAGAAACAAAACAAGGCATGAAACAAATTAGTACACTCAATTGAAATACTCGTACAACACTCATTATATTGCAGGTAGGCTGGATGCGGCGCCCTCATTTTTTTGCCATTGGTAAACTTATCTATCACAAGGAAACACCTCGCATAACCTGTTTTTCAAAGCTTTCTCACCGACATGACTTTGTTTCGCTTGTAAGCTCGTGTTCAGCGAATCCCCGCTCTACTCTCATTTCCTCAAAGTCTCTCGTCTTCCCGTTGACGGTTCCTTCTTTGATTCCTCGTAGGGAATTCTAATTCACATGTTTATTCAAATAACGACCTTTATTGATTTTTTTCTGGTTTTGTTTCCACACACTGAGAAATTCAATTTTAATGATGTTTGTAAAGTTTGAAGAGAAACATTTATCTTTCGGATGGTCTTATGGCAGCAAGTTCTGTCGATAAAATAAGCCGATCCGCAGCAGACAGTAACAGGAGAGCAGATAGATAAAGAAAGAGAGAGAGAGAGAAGGAGATATACACAGACACACAGAGAGAGAGAGAGAGAGAGAGAGAGAGAGAGAGAGAGAGAGAGAGAGAGAGACGGGGGGAGAAAGAGAGAGGGGGAGGGGTAAAGGATTGATGGGAAAAAGCGGGGGGTAGATCAGAGACTGCTGGAAGCGAAAAAAAAAATAGGTTGATATTGCACTTTCCCTAACGTATTTTAGAACCATAAAACTAGTATTCTTGAGGCACTAGAAATGCTTAACACAATCCTCTGGGTTCGTACTCTTTCTATTGCTACTCCTGGCTCCTTACTGCAGTCTTCCAAACACAACCGTGATCTTAGGGTAGGTACGGTCGAACGTCTAGCCATTTTGGATTAGGGCGAAAAATCTCGGAGGTCCCGTGTGCAGGTTGCGAACGTTAAAGACCCCTTGGTGGTTTTAATATCGATAAGAGTATGCTTCCGCCCCCACCTGCGCCAAATTCAAAACCTACCTAGCTGAAAATGCTTAAAGTGCCTCACGCCTCATATGATCGTATGTAGTTGCGTAAAACACTTACGTATAGAAAAAAAACCAATTTAAACGATATGAAACTAGGGAGAAAGACCAAGAAAGACTTGGCTGGATGGGGTTAAAAAGGTCCTGGAACAACATAACATATATATCACAGTCGCTACTCACTTAGCACAGGACTGAAACCTGCACCTCCCCTCGACATCCTAAGGATACCAGAGGAAGGGAAAAGTAAAAAGGTCATGTAAGAAACTGAGGGAAGATTAGGTCTTTACATATGAGGCGCTGACAAAAGGGTTGTAATTGAAAATTCAATAAGGCATTAATTTCAAACAGTGATTTAACCATTTGTCTGAGCATCTGTTTATAAGTATTTTTAACTCGAAAATAAGGGGTGAAAAAAAATTTGCAAGGCCCAATTATCGTATTTCAGTTATTATAGTTATACTGTATTTTCTGTAGTGCGCCAGCACATGCATTCATATTCACTGAACTCAATGTTTATTGTGAATGTTTGCCTTCCTGCTGCTCATGTCCACGTCAATATTAGTAATTTGTGGACCAATGCAGCACATCTGATCGTTAGTTTTCCTGTCTTTTGACTACACCAAAAAGACATTTTAACCACACAGACAGACTGTACAGAACCTTACCTGATTTTTTGTAAAAAGGGCTTAATCGCTATAGGAAAAACCAGCCACTCCAAGAATAAGCATAATTCTGCAAATTAGTTGGTAAACATAGTGGAAACTGTCTTTCTAACAGCGGTGGAACAGATTATAAAACTTGTTTTGGTCTGATTTGATATGATTGTAATTTTAAGAGAATTTTCTGGAAAGCTATGTTAACAATAAAACGTCATAACCGTGACAAATGCCTTAAAGTTAATCTCTACGTAGCTTGGCGCTGACAAGATTGTTGGATCCGCTTTCAATTTAATTAAGAAAGTTCCCCGCACAAAAGCTGAACAGACTGGTTATTGCTTTGAAAGGTCTTTCTTGAATAACGCGAAAGCTAGTTGGTCTCAAAAAGCTTTGGAAAACCTCAGCCATCGATTAGATTATATTTTAAAACTTTGAAGGCTGTGTCTACGGTCGGGATGCTAATAAAACTAAGAGGGATACCGTGGAAATTAACATAGGTTGTCGCTCACGGTTACAACACGTCTTAATCTTTAGTAGCAAATTTGATTCGTGGCTTTATTTCGGAACTCATTGTCATACCTTGCCTTCCCACACCCCCATACCACTGCTTCGTAAAATTTGACGGAGTGTATAATATCTCTATCACTTTATCTATCTATCTATCTATCTATCTATCTATCTATCTATCTATCTATCTATCTATTATCTATTATCTATCTGTCTGCTTGTTAGTCTGTCTGTTTGTGTGTGTGTCTGTCTGTCTGGGTTTTTTGTTTCGGCTGTCTTTCTGATTGTCTGTCTGACTATCTTTATATCTGTCTGTACTTTAGTATATATCCATAGAAACAGCTTGCGTGAATATGTGCGTATACGTGTATGTTTTTATTTTAAAGAATTATGTTTGTTGTTTTATTTGTGTTTTTTGTGCATATATGTGTGTATGTATGTGTTCATGTGTTTGTGTGTGTGTGTGGTGCGTGCGTGCGTGTGCGTGCTTGGCTAGGAGACGTAGGAGCATAGTGTGCTGGTCACGCGTTTACAACCGTTTTTTTATATCTTTTGATAAACAGAAACTTCGTGTTTAGTCTTGAAGCTGCTATATAAATGTTTATTCTATCACTAGGCCAAACAATCTTTGTTTAGGAAAGCGTAGAATTTTATTACCAGTCTAGAGCTTTAAAAACAGCAACAGCCCTGTGGGCTTTGTACAGTTTTAAGCAGCAAACAGTTTCCTTTGCTTCACATTGCCGTCAGCAAAATTCCATGACAGGAAAGAAACAATGTAAAAATAAAAATACATCCGATGTTGCCAGTTACTTTCTTTACCATAAAGGTTAATTTTTTTTAATTTATTATATATATATATATATATATATATATATATATATATATATATATATATATATATATATAGATAGATAGATAGATAGATAGATAGATAGATAGATAGATAGATAGATAGATAGATAGATAGATAGATAGATAGATAGATAGATAGATAGATAGATAGATAGATAGATAGATAGATAGATAGATAGATAGATAGATAGATAGATAGATAGATAGATAGATTGTGGGTTTTTTTACTTTGGTCGGAAAGTGTTGATATATAAAAAAGCAGTTTCATTGCTCGCTTTAGACATTCAAAATGTTTCTTGGTATACATGTAGGTGTACAAAAAAGCCAAATAGGTTTAAATAATTGCCCAAATTCCATCTTCTTTGCTTTCATGTATCCCTCACCTGTCGCCTGAAGAATTGTCTTATCATCCTAGTCACATAGTTTATTGCATACACCTTCTCCCCATCCATTTTCTTCAGTTCCTCCCGTCTGTCCGTTCCACTCTTTTACAAAGATTTCCTTCAGACTAGTCCTCAACGTTTCCTGACATCACATTAATTTGTCAACATGGACAGCTCCTCCAGGCCTAACACTAAAGTGCACTCTCAGTGTCAGAACATCCTTCCACACGAGCACGCCTCAAGGTTTCAGCAGAGAATGTACGCTAGCTTTGTCGGTGATAAGAAGAGATATAAAAGGCCGTCATAATAACTTACGAAATTACAACATTGGCGTCTATGATGACATGATTGGTAGAAAAAAAATATATAAAGAGACCTTGTCATTTTCTGTAAAAGAAGTACGGAAGCACTATGAATGATATTGTTATAGTACTTTTTTTCAATATCACGTGCCAGTGATTGGGAATATGTTGTTAGCAATTCTGCCAGTGTGTGGTAAAATATAAGACAAAAAGAGTTGAAGGAGCATAAAAGTACACCCGGGTACGTTTGCCATTTACATTGAAGAGAAGAGTATACCAGAAACAGGTCTCCCCTCTCTGTTTCTCTCTCTCTCTCTCTCTCTCTCTCTCTCTCTCTCTCTCTCTCTCTCTCTCTCTCTCTCTCTCTCTCTCTCTCTGTGTGTGTGTGTGTGTGTGCGCGTGTGTGTGTGTGTTTGTGTTTGCGTGCGTGTGTGTGTGTGTGTGTATGTGTGTGTATGTGTGTGTGTGTGTGTGTGTGTGTGTGTGTGTGTGTGTGTGTGTGTGTGTGTGTGTGATGGCGCAATACTACACAATGTTGATCTCCTATACGGATCAGGATTTTTTTTTTTCTGCTTTTCTTTTCATCACATTGCTCTAGCAGACGTCTAAAGGCTGTATTCGAAAAAGCCTTTATTTTGTCTGACAGAGCTCTGAGCTTCTACAACGACTGAATTGACCCTTTCCTAATCAACAGAAGACTTGCTTTTTCCCATAATCACTCCTAAAAGTGGCTGGGAAGCGGTCGTAATTACTTCTTTACTAGTACTCTTGTGCTTTTTATGTAAGTCCTGTAACTACAATAACAACAACTTTCTTTGTCGTTGATCTTGTTATCACCCATTTGTCTAGTCTGAAGTCGTCTTTTCACGGATAGATACGTTGAGTTTACTTGCAATCTCTTTTTCAGGGACACCAAAGCTAAACTGACAGTAGTTTAGAAAGTAAACCAACTCCAATGGGCGCTCCTTTGTTTCTTCCACAGAAACGTGTTCCCGGATAATTTGATCGTGGCTTGTTACAATGCTGTAAGTATGGGACGACGTTAGCATCCTTCAGTAACAATAAAAATGTGGTATACAATTACACATCCCACATTCCATTCTCCATTTTTTAACCCTGCCTTAACATTTAAACCCACTGTACACAAACATGTGAAAATAAACCATAGTGTAAGACCTCCTTTTTTATGAATTCTTAAATTCAAATTGCAAGTTACATTTGCTTTGGGGAATTGTCTTAGCCTTATTTCCTTTCCTTTTCATTGCTCTCTCCTTTGACTTGTAGGTCCAGCTATCTACCTTCCGAATTATCTATTTAACTCTAGTAGAGTGTCGACACTCATACAGAAAAGCTGAAGAAAAATCACGAAGCAAATTTCAGGGATGCAGTTGTTTCAACATGTATTGCCTTAATGAAAGTAATTGTTGTACTACTCTGCCCCTGGATTGCTAGATGGAGAACTAGGCTCTGAATGAGTGGGCGTTAGTAAATTAGTGAGTGTCATTTTTGGATGGACTGGGGGAGGGGCATCATTCTAGCCTTAGTTGTTCTTAATGCTCACCTAAGAATGTTTTTCTATAGGCTGTGATGACTTTGGATGGTTTTCTTTTATCACGAACAGCTAATCTAAGTTTTGTTGTACTTCTGAAACCAGTATCGCACCAAGGAAGTTGAAAAAGAAGAGTTCAGGGAGGCTACAACGAACAGCACCGCCTCAATAACCACATTATCTCCTGAACCGACGACTACCTTGTCTCCTAGATCAATAACCACATTATCGCCTAGTTCAACAACAATCCCAGAAAATGGAACAGGTGAGTCAAAGACTCTGGTATCTATGATTCACTTGTATGATTGTTTACCAATATTAATACCTTCTCAGCAAGGAACCTCGTCGTTCATTTTTTAAATTAATTAATGGGCTTTATCTTAATGTAATAACCTTTTTCACTCCTTCAGAGATTAATGAACGTGTCTTTTTAGTCATCGACTTTGACAACCAACTGCAATTTGATTGCTTTTGTTTCTTTTATTGACGTATGTCACTGTTTCATACGTCTGTTGAAATCAGCAGCCTCGCCTTTGTCGCAGCTCACCTCGAAGCTTATTTAAACGACCACGGATAAAGAACGTTCTGTTGTGAGTTAGTGGTAAATGTCAATAGAATAAAGCTCAGAAAGTAGACTGAGCCTCAAACGTAATAACCATATCTTAGAGGACCGCCCAGAAGAGCCCTTTAATCAACCAAAAGTTTAGGAAATCAAGTGAAAAGTTCAATATTGAATGGGTGCCACTGCATTAAAGCGTTCCATGAAATAAGTTCCTCCTCCCTCCCCCGTATCGGGCTAGATACAACTAAGCCAACCTCCTGCACCAAGTCTAAGCAATAGGAGCTTCAATGGCATTATTTGGCCCTTAAATGTTTTGTGGCAGAAGCAAGATATTTTACTTTGATGCAATGATAGCCATTTTTTATAACTTAAACCACTGGGCCACGAACAGGACTTATCTATAGCAAGTTGATAATATAATCAAAAACTGAAACGCTAGAAAGTTTAATAATACCTCTGGAATTCCAAACGTTTGCAGTGTCGTTATTTACTATAAAGGGGCAAATAAAATTGTTTTTCATAACACTAGTCACCCCAACGTTGTAGTTTTTGAATGAGTTAAGCAAAGGTAAATGCTGTTAGAGATTCTCTTACTTCTTTCTGGGATGTGTGCTTGCCTAGGGACTTGTGCATTTCCTTCGTAAAGACCTATGAAGTATTAAAAAGAGTGAAAATGTTCAACAACATCAGCATTCCTCCCTTGTGGTTCCTCCAGAGCTGGTGGCGGTGACGGTGATAGAGCTGGTGAACGGCGGCACGGGGAAACCCAACGTGCTGGGAGTCGTCATGTTCTCCATCCTCTTTGGTGTCATGCTGGGCCGTATGGGGGAGCGCGGGAAACCAATCGTCCACTTCTGCGACTGCCTGGTGGAGGTCACCATGAGGCTGTTCACCATGTTCCTCTGGTGAGTTGGAGCTTCCAAATAACTTTTCTGTTGAGTGCATTTAAGCTTAGAAAAAAATCAATACGCGTGCAGGACCTCAACCTTAAACAAAAAACAAATATCAGGAAAGGACTCTCGTTAACATACGTTGTATTTTATCGTTTCTTTTTTTAGCTTGTGGGCAGTGTTACTGCTGTACGGCTCTAGTTTCTTTTTTCAGTTTATTTATAATTTACTTTCGCCTCCCTGTTTATAGTTTTTTTTTATCATTCTTTCTTTTTAAGGCTGTAGTATCATACTACAATCTATTCGAACTGGCCGTTCGTCAAGAGCTACTCTTTCTATCTTATTAATAAATAAAATGTTATAACCAATTAAGGGCCAGTGGCAAAGTACTAGAGAACACAGGTATGTTGTTGAATTTAAATCAGATAGTTTGAGCAGTTGCCAAAACTCTCGACTGAAATGCTTCTTTTCATGATGATGATGATGATGATGATGATGATGATGATGATGATGATGATGATGATGATGATGACGATGATGATGATGATGATGATGATGATGATGATGATGATGATCTTGTCCAAGTCTTTACAACCATTTTTTCCTTCCCCTGCGTCCCCGTCCAGGTACTCCCCAGTGGGTATCGCTTTCCTAATCGCTGCCAAGATTGTGGAGATGGAGGACTTCAACGTATTGCTGGGCAAGCTTGGGATGTATTTTATCACCGTTCTCATCGGTCTCTTCATCCATGGATCCATCATTCTACCTTTCTTGTATTTCATAACGGTCAGAAAGAATCCATACAAGTTCATATACGGAATTTCACAAGCCATGGCGACAGCCTTTGGTACATCCTCCAGGTAAATATAAGTTGTCAGCTTTGTGGTACAACGAAGATTATTAATACTGTCCCTGGCACCTGCGCCTCGAGTCGTAGAGTTCAGGAGAAGAAACCAGCGTATGGACTGCGATATGGACTTTAAAGTATAAAATGTGATTAGATACACGGGCGTTAACCACGATTCTTAGAGGATCAACATCATATACATGTAGAATCCCAGTTCGTGCCCATTTATAACCCCCATGTGCGGTTACACATAAACATACACGCACATACAATTCATTATGCACGCATTTACACACACACACACACACACACAAACAAACAAACAAACAAACAAACAAACAAATGAACGAACACACACACACACCCATACACACACGCACCCACACACATAGACACATACTCACACACATACACACACAAACAAACAAACAAACAAACAAACAAACAAACAAACAAACAAACAAACGAACGAACACACACAAATACGCACACACACCCATACACACACGCACACACACACACACACACACACACACACACACACACACACGCGCGCGCGCGCACTCGTGTACATTGATAAATTCACAATTTCTCCGCTTTGCGTCTCTGTCTTACATCCTAGAGTTAATGACAGTAAAGATTCACATTTTGATAGAGATGATTATAATATAGTTATACGCTGATGAAACAGCCTGGACTTCTTGACAATCAAACCTCAGCTATAAATACATCCTTGAAACCAGTTTTTTTTAATTGTTTTCTCTGAAAATGATAGTGGGTTTTTTCTTGATGAAAACCAAAACCAGTGTTTTCAAACTGCTGATCTAGGCATGGTAGCCCTCCTCCAAACTGTATTTCAAGGACATATTATTCAAACCGGAAGCTCAAATCTCAGGCTGATAACTGTGTTAAGACACATTTATTTATTACAGAAATCGAGTGACAAAGCTAACAATGCAATTTTCTTCTAATACATACATACATACATACATACATATATACATACAGAGACACTTACATGCACGCACACACGCGCGCACACACACGTACACACGCACATATATAATATACACACACGCACACACACACACACACACACACATATATATATA